CTTCGAGTTGGGATCTTTCCCTGGTTAGAATCGCTTGGCAGATTTGGAAAGCGGATTTGAATTCAGCGCCCAAAAACACGTCTAGCAGTATAGGTCTTATTTCAAATGGCCACTTCGAGTTGGGATCCTTCCCTGGTAAGTTCAAAGAAGCATTTTGCAAATTCAGGCAAATTACTATTTCTATTTATTAGGCGTATTGCTGAAGGGGAAATGGGGCTGAAGATCAACCCATATCTGCTATTATCCAGATTTCGATCTCGCTTTCGTGCACAATTACTACGAAGACCCCACCCATTCCTCGTCCTAAGAAGGTGAAGTGATAAGGCTCATATAGACTGCGCTGCGCTTATTCCCCTGAAGCCATGCCACGCCGCCGAGTCATCAGCACCCGAGGCACCTGCTGCCACCTTCACAAGTCAGGTTCAAATACCCTCAAGTGATAGGGAAAGATGAAAATCAGATAAGACAAGTTAGCCTGTGACTTTTTTGAACAGTGAAAGTAGGTTTTTATGGAGCCCATTCAACAAAATAGCTCATCCAAGACTAATCGCTGCCGAGTTCAAACGAGCAGCGAAGGCCCTGAAGAGAATAGGCCCGGAAATAACTAGCTCCAAAAAATATTTGATAATGTACTAGTGTCAGTTTAGTAGTTGTAGCTCGAGTAACCTGGCAAGTCTCCATGGCATTCTGGTCCCAGATCAAAAACTAAAAAACAGTGAGTGCTTTATGATGTGAGTACAGTTGAGTTTCCCTCTCATTCACTTTCTCAGCCAGTGCGCTTTATGCTATAACTACAAGTGGAAAGTTTTTAACCTCCACAGAATTGTTGCTGAAGATTCTTCCACTTCAGAATCTAACACTTCTATTCTGTTGTTACCTCATTAATCTATACACGGAAGCCTCATTCGCCACTGACCGCCGGCCCTGTAGTTGGCAGCGGATTTCGCCCGCCTAAAAGACGAGATCCTGATGGTTCTATATTCATACTGTGTGTGAAACTCGAATGAGTCATGAACATGTCGTCCGCTTTGAAAAAGCGATAGCAGTTCATCTCGAGATGCGCTGAATAGTATCACCTAAACACCTCGCAAGGCACAAGAATATTACGAGTGCAAATTTCAGAACACATTACCCAACGTGTGAATTGGCACTATTCTCCTAGCCCAGTAGGGCAGTATGGCCAAGTTTTTGGGTGGTGAAGTGACCAAAGGCAATTCTTTAATAAACAATAAACAAAATGTTGGAGTTTGAAGTGATAACCGAATAACTTTGAACCTGAGAACACCAAGTCTCAACTGTCCTTGAGCCTTTTGAATCAAAGTGTGAGCTTGTTTGCAGGTGAATACTGGCATGGAATTCACCGTATGTAGTACGTCGCCGGACTTGACACCAGCTCGAGCAGCTCGGCCTCCCATCAGTATCTGCAACCTTTTTCTGGACTCCTTATCATTATGAATGTGTTCCTGATTACTTACCTTCGAGACGATGGGACGAAGTTCCTGGTCGCTGCTAAGGCGCATCCCCCATGGCGGTCCGCCGAGCAGTGTTACATTGACCGTCATATTGAGGGAATTATGAGTACATCTGCAAATTTAGTCGCAATCAAAATGAAAAAAAGCAGTTCAACGGATTCGATGTTCGTTCGATGTTGAAGATGAACGATGAAATGGAGAATATGGCAGAAACTGTTGGCTTCTACCCGAACAGATGACATAGACTCGGCTTTACATTACCAATTAAATCGGTACAGTTTCAAGGCAGGATTTATGAATTACAGGCAAACTTCGCTGCTTTCAAGCACCATGCTCTTGATCCCTCAGACTACCGGAATCCTGCTTGTCCTCTCCTCTCAGATGGTTCGAAGACGTTCGTAACTTATGGGCACTCACAAGTACGGTTTCGGGCCTTTTTCGAATATGGGATCCTTCCATATCTATCCATTCTTGCGAGCCCGTTGCATCACGTACTGTGGCAAAATGAAGTCAGAACCCTTAATCACTGAACCCTCTATCCATACTTGGTATAGTGAAGCAGTGTTACAAGCTCCTCTTTCATGAACAAAGCAGTTCAAGAGAACTTCCCAACCCTGCTCTG